ACAGACCCGTCAGCCGTGCACGGGCAAAGGGCGAAGCCCCCAAATCTGCTGGCACTGGGGGTGCTCGATGCCAGCGCTGAGGGCGCGGGACCCACCCAAAGCCAAACCATGAACCCTGAGAACGCCAAGGGATGGTGTGGGACCCTGAGTGCCTGCCCTCCGTGGGGGCAGAGCGAGGGGACAGGGCTGCCCCCTCCCTGGGGGTGTAGGTAACCCCACAGCAGGGTCCCTGTGCTGCAGGCAAAGCCCACAGCCCACCCCACAGCAAACTGGCCTTGATCCTGACGGGATCAATCCTGCATGACCCGGGGTGGAGCTGCCTCCCGCAGCTCCGGTCAGGGCTCTGGCCTGACCCTGCATGCCCAGCACCCCTGGATGCAGGGAATGCGGATCCGGACCTCTGGATGCAAAGAAGCGGGTGATGCTTTCAGCTGGGACCGAACCCATCAACACCCTCCCCAGATCTCACCCAGCGAGCTGGGCCGGAGGCCGCTCCCGGGTGTTCTGCCGCTTCCAAATCATTTGGCATATGGCACATTTGGAGCCTTACACAGCCAGGAGGAAAGAAAACGTCCCGGGCCTCATTTTAAACGGCAAATTTGGTTTTATTTTTAAATCTTAAAATACTCCAAGAAGCTACTTGGGGCCATTTCCGATAAACTGGAATCCTTCATCCGCTCTAACGTGCAGCTGATGCTTCTGCTGGCAGCTCGCTGCGGCGCTCGGGATCAGGAGTGATTTTAGCAGCGAATGTCCCGAGGCTCCCGCTGCGTCAGGGACTCGCAGGCGGCTCAGTTACTTTCTCCCCAACTCATGCTCCAAAGGACAGGACACGTTTAACCGGAGCAGAATCCCTTTGCTTTCCGGGGCTGGGAAAAACGCCCGTCCGGAAAGCTTTTGTTCCTGCGTGGGGCTGAGCCCCAGCACAGCCCAGTTTGTTTCTGCCCTTTCGCCGTGCGCCCGATTCTCCCCCGCTCAGGGTGGTGCAAAGCAGGGACAGCACCGGCAGAACACACGGATTTCCAGCCAGCGAGAGGAGCAGGATCGGTGCCTGGGCCGAGGGAATCTAAGCCCATCCGGAATGAAGGGAACGAGCGGATTTCGCCGCTGCCACGTCTCCAAGTGCTCTGAGTGTTTTCCTTGCGGAGCAGCACATGCAGATACATGTTCCCCAGCGCAGAATGTCTCGTTTAGGGCCAAATCCTGCCCGTGCCCGAGATGGGCTCCCCCCCCCAGCCCCCCGGAGCTGGGGCTCTGCGGGCTCCGGGGGTGGGCAGGGGATGCTGCCCCAGGCGGAGGGGGCTGCGCTGGGG